AATGAAAATGACAAACAGGTCACTAGTCACATGCAGGCCAACAGACAGGATATTTATGTGTCAAATCAATACTGAAAGATTTTTTTTTCTGACCAGGAAGTCTAGATCACTTATTATTGACCATAAACAACAATGTATAGGAGATCATAATCAGGCTAAAAGGATTATTACGGAGTGTGTCTTAAGGAAAAGTTAAATATATCTTTCATACCCAACGAGTTTCATTTCAACAAACAGCAACCATTGCAAAGTTTCTAACCACACCAACATCTTTAAAATCTTCCCACACTTCCTACTGCAGGGTGATAAATATTCATGTGATTTGGCCTGATTTTACGTTACAGTCTTCTCATCTCTGGATGAATCAGGATCACTTTAAAATGAGCTCCAAAATGTGTCTGTGAAATGTGCTAATGCGTTCCTGGTGACCTGTCTGGGCCTTTAGGCATTTTTAATGTCACTATGGCATTCTGTGACATTTTTATTACAGCCTTGCTACAGGTTTGCTGCAGTATTTGTTGCCCCTTGTAAGATTACCAGAGCCTTTTGTAGTACCATAATAGAGTCCCTTGTAGATTTAAATGTCCTAGATAATGATTCTAACAGTGTATTATTTTTTTTAGTACACAGGAATAATACCCTGTAACAGCTTTTTTTAAAGCTGCAGACAGTCTGGATTTTTGACGTCTTACTCTTGTACATGTGTGGCCTGCTCTACACAACTCGGATGAGTTTACATTAATTTGCCCAGTCAGGTGAGAATTGTTGCCCCTGTGTAATGTTTGTAATTCCACATCCAACCCCACCCTCCTCTGTTTTTCTCTCTGATGCTTCCTTCTGTTCATGTTACTCTCACAGATGTATGGAACAGAACGTTCTACGGGCTTGCCTTGCTAAAATACAGACACGCTAATCAAATCTGACAGAAAATCATGGTTGGTTGCATTTTGTGTTGATTTTTGGTTTTCTTGTGAACAAAATTTAAAAATTTGATTAGAAAAAAATCTATTTATAAGCCAATTAAACCCTTACTCTGCTCAGAGTGACTAGCAAACAAAAAAAAGTCAGAAGAATAATCCAGAAGGTCTAAAAGTCAAAAATGTTTCCTAGTTTAGAGAAATAATATATATATTTTTTCAGATTTAGTATTTTCTAATAGTGTCTTTTATCATTAAAGGATCTTTCCGGAGTGTTTCTCTAATCCGATGGCACCATCTAGTGGCTGACAAGCATATCACATGAAACATCTGTCAGTGCGTTTTTTTAAGATGGACACTTCACATTTCTTGTTTATGAGTCCATCTGTAGCCGACAACCAGAGCTAAAACACGTTGTCGTCGTAAAAAGTTCATCAACTCTGCATCAGCTGAGGTACTTCCTTAAATGTGAAGCACGTAAGCAGTTGTCTAACGCTATTGGTTAGTTCTGGTCGGCGCTCAGTTCACTTTTGCACGGAGCTCTGCGCGGCAGGGGGCATCATATCACAGTACATGATAAGATAATCACTTTTATGGATTTCTAAAAAATCGTACATGAATTCTGAAAGGGGAAAACTCCGGAAAGCTACTTTAACTTGAACCTAACAGTCCTGTGTGATATGGTAAAAAAAAAAAAATAGGTTTTGTTCGTCTTCCAAGGAGAAGTTTAGAAAGTACAGCGAAAAACAAGAATCCTTTGTGTTAGTTTTTATTTTTATTGCCATAAATTTGCACCTAGTGTTATGGACAAAGCACTAGTTTAATGATAATTAATGTTTTCACATTTATGCTTTCATTTTTAATAAAATGTCTAAATCAAATGATTATAAGATGCATCAAAGGGTGGATTTCAGCTCCTCTTGTGGTGAATGTAGGCTATTGCAACTTAACCAAACAGTAACATGAAATAGCAGCAGAGAACTATTTATTAAATAAAAAAGGTAAACATGTGACTTTTAATTTTAAATGATCAAACGTTATTTTGCGCATGTTCTTAGGACCCAAGATAAACACCCAAAAATGGATAATTAATCAAAAAAGTGCTCTCAAATCAGACGTTGAATGATAGTAATGATGGTTGGATGAGTAAAAAGGAGAGGAAAACAAGTGTGATTGTTAGTGTTAGAGCAACGGAGACCGCAAGCTTGTGATTGGTCAGAACACCACTTCCTTTAAATGTGTCAACAGCACTGGCATTCCGTTCTCCAAAAAATAAAAGGAATGCTGAAGACCGTTAGCAGACACAGAACAGGTCTGAGAACATCGTTGGTGTGTTCTTACTGTGTTTAGTTTCTAATTCCAGATTTGGTTCTTTTTAAAACACAGGAAAGGTTTTTGTTTACCTTGCTGACGTACGTTTCGTTTGCTAAAAAGAAAAACCTTTCCTGTGTTTTAAAAAGAACCAAAAATGGAATTAGATCTGAGAACATCTTGCAGAAAAAGTCCAGTGATGTATAACTTTATATACGCGTGACTGAAGGAGTACAAATATACACAGCAAGTCGTCCAGGAAGAGAGAGATCTGTGCCTCAATGGTAGCTGTTTGCATCATGCCACATGAGTACAGTAAACTACACAACATCCCCGTCCCTTAAAAATAATTTGCTCCGTTAACATGGACGTAAAAAATTTTTTTTTGGGGGGGGGGCACATGTCTCCCCCACTTTTTCCAAAGTCAAGTTTTGACCCCTGCACTTTTCACCTCCAAAACCAATATTACTTTATATAAAATTGACACTGGCTGAGCTCTAGGACCAAGTGGAAAACAACCGTTTGCGTTGAAGCCTGTTTCCCATTAGAACATACTGTAAAGACCCCCCCCCCCCCATGTCCCCTGCACTTATAAAGTGAAAATTACGTCCATGAACTACACAACATCCCAAAACAGACTTAATTTCTCTCAAAGGAATTCTTTCAATGCTGCTTTGTATCTCCAGACCACAAAAATCTTCATTTAGCTGTTTGAATCTCAACAGTTCAGTCCTGCGGTCAGACTTGCATGAATACTTGGTCAGAGATCGCCATGTGTGCCACAATCTGGGACTTATCCTGATTCAGCTCAATGAGCACCTGGATAGTGACCCAGAACACACAACAAGGAAGAAAACTCAGCAAGTAGGTTACATCAGACAATTTTAACGCTTGACCAATAAATATTTCACAGTGACCCACGTGCTTGCTTGTTTATTTATTAACCTACTAAAACCTTGTTTCACCAAGACTTTGAGTTGTGCAGCACGCACAGTGTGTTTCTGTCAACGAATCCATTCTCAGTCAGAAAAGTAAACTGAGTTTAGTGTTGCAGTTAATATTTTATTTTTATGCAGCACTTATCTGCTCTGTTATGTTCAGATTTTCTGGATGGATTGACTCTATGGACACCCTACAAGCCTATAAATGCCCTAAACTAGTTTACGTACAGGCCTGAAAGACTAAAAATACCATAAACAAGTTCACAAACATTCCCGAACAACTATAAATGTCCTAAACAAGTTTATTAAAACCCCCAAAAGACTACAAATGCCCTGAATGGTTTTATTAACACCCTTAAAGACTAGCAATGCCATAAACAAGTTTATAAACACCCCAAAAGACTAGAAATATCCTTAAATGTGTTTATAAGCATCCTAAACCCATTTTATAAAAGGGTTTATAAAATACATATATATTTATATCGAATGTGTAAAACAAGCTAGAGCTGGCCACACCCACCCCGCTCGGGCTGCTATGAGCTGAGACGCTCCATACTCGGGAGTGGCTTGGACTAGAGCCGCTACTCCTCTAGCCAAGAGAAATGAGAGGGAGCTCTAATCTATGTTCCTCCTATTGTGAGGTCTCACATTTTTTCATTTGTTTTAGGCACATGCTCTTAAAACCAAACACTGCCAGTGTTTGTAGAAGCAGAGACCCACATGGGTATAAAACGCATACAAGGATGCAAATTGTGAGTTTTGCACAAGATGTCCTTGACCGGAAAAGGGTGGCTTGCCAACTCTGGGTCGGGGGACAGGTCCTGCCTCAAGTGGAGGAGTTTAAGTATCTCGGGGTCTTGTTCACAAGTGAGGGTAGGAGGGATCGGGAGATCGACAGGTGGATTGGTTCGGCGTCTGCAGTGATGCGGACGCTGAACCGATCTGTCGTGGTGAAGAGGGAGCTGAGCCAGAAAGCCAGGCTCTCGATTTACCGGTCGATCTACGTCCCAATCCTCACCTATGGTCATGAGCTTTGGGTAACGACCGAAAGAACGAGATCACGGATACAAGTGGCCGAAATGAGTTTCCTCCGTAGGGTGGCCGGGCTCAGCCTTAGAGATAGGGTGAGGAGCTCGGACATTCGGGAGGGACTCGGAGTAGAACCGCTGCTCCTCCGGATCCAAGTGAATCAGTTGAGGTGGTTTGGGCATCTGGTCAGGATGCCTCCTGGACGCCTCCCTGGGGAGGTGTTTCGGGCATGTCCTGCCGGCAGGAGGCCCCCGGGTCGACCCAGGACACGTTGGAGAGGTTACATCTCCAATCTGGTCCGGGAACGCCTTGGGGTCCTGCCGGAGGAACTGGTGGAGGTGGCCGGGGAGAGGACGGTCTGGAGCTCCCTAGTTGGGATGCTGCCCCCGTAACCCGGACCCGGATAAGCGGAGGAAGATGATGACTATGTCCTTTTTTATGCCCAAAAATATTAGGTGCCCCAATGACTTTATAATTCCCAAAAGTGAATAATAACTCGAAAGCCTTAACAAGAGCATCTAAATAGCTTAAAAATATTCTAAACATATTTTCAAATGCCTTTAAAGACTGTAAATGCCCACAAGCTGCCTACAGACTTTCCAAACATCCTCATGATTAGAGAAAAAGAGGGAATTGTTGTTGCCGAAAACAGACTCAGACGACGAAATGTGACAGAAGGGATGCTATAGCTGTTGTGATGAGTTCCTGCTCTCCCTGATGCGTTTTAAAAATGATCTCCCCCTTTTCCTAAGCTGAGCGACCTGCTGATGAAGCTCTAGCGCAGAAAGGAGAGAGAGAGAGAGAGAGAGAGAGAGAGAGAGACTGACTGCTGGTCCGTCTGTCCAGCTGCCCCTGCATCTGCAGAAGCGCGCGCGCATACACACATTCAGCACACACGCGCACGTTTCTATCTCTCTCTGACAGACACACGCACGCACGCACGCGGCGTTCGGAACGAGTCCCATGCACGCGTTGCTGCCTGCAGCCGGAGTCTCCAGTGTGCTTGGTGTATGTGCGCGTCTCTGCGTGCGTCCGGTGGCCGTTCGCCTGCCTCTCCCCCTCCGCTGCGCCTCTCCTCCCCACCCGGCATAGGAATAAACCCCAGCCTGGGAGCTCTGATCCGCACCGAGGCGAAGTTGAGTCCCCACGATGCGCGCGGGCCAACAGAGATTGCAGCGGAGAAGCAGCAGTGTGGGCGCACACACGCACCGAGGATTGGATTACAAATAACTGTGATTTTACTCGCCGCTGCACGCTTTTGAAGTGATAAACCAGTGGATTTCATTCATCATTAATTTGTTCTTGGACACGCTGGGAATTATTCTCTTCCAGAGATTCTGTGATTCCTCTTTTTTTCCCTCCTCCTCCGGTCGTGCGGTGTTTGAGAGTGAAAACCACCAGAGGCTGCGTGCTTCTTCTCTGGAGAGAGTGGACTGTTGCAATGTCATCCCACACCACTGTTTTGGAGCTCTGTGGAAGGGAGATGCTGTAAGTATTTGGTCTTTTTAGCCTCCATTAAATTTCACCCCCCGTTCCTGATGACCAGTGCGGCGTTTTGCCCCCATTAATAAGCAGCGTAACCAAAGTGCTGCACTAAAACCACAAAAAACACAACATGGGCAAAACAAAACGAAATAAAACGTCCAATAAAAGAAGAACATCAAGTTTGGTCTCGACTCTCCTATTAGGGCCATTTCCACTTCATTCAGCTGGCGCAGTGAGCGGAGCGCTGGCTGCGCTAATCCATGGCACCACATCTAAACCCGCATCTAATGTCAAACACGCTCATGCGTGGTGCACCCGAACTGCCTGCACATTTAAAGCTTGGCGCGAGTCATAGTGGATTTTGGACGACACATTGCGGGGTTTTGAGTCGCGCCACTGGTTTGGCACAACTTCTGTTCTCCAGGATCGGCTCGTGACATCACGGAGAAGGAACCCAGGAGAAAGATTGTAAAAGTTCAGGTCGGGTTGTTTCCTGTTGTACTGTGACATGAAATTATCAGGAGTGATCAATTAAAAGCGAAAACGCGCCATGAAGGGAGCGTCTTGGTTAAAATAATCATGAAAAAAAAACTGTAAAAGGAGGTGTCAAACCAGAGGGGGGCGCGCTTGCGTCGTCTTGGCTTTATTGAAGCTAGAAGGGAGATCCAAATAAATTTCCATCCACCCTCTCAAACCCACCTTCTCTCTGATTCAGCCAAGTCCTTCCTTCATTAGAAACATGATTATATTTTCTCTACTTAGAGGGAACAAAAATAAAGATGCTGCCACACACCCACGTTCCGTTTGGGCTGGGTACGGTAAAAGCACATGTTTTGTACCAAAGTCTGAAAACGCAGGTGATTTTGAATGGGATGGGAGTGTGTTTTATCACGTGATCATCAGCGGCACCTCTCTGGCCTTTTGGGAAAATATCAGTTTTGTCTCAAAGCAACAGTCGGTGAAGTAAAGCTACGTTGTCCTGGCCTGTTGGGTTTGTTTTGTAGCTCACTCTGCAGTTAATCCCTGAGAAGTACGTTCATGCAATCGGCCAATCACACAGCTGCACCTCAGTGCCTTCGCACATCTAGGTGTGGGGAAGACGGCAGGCTGAAGTTCAGACTGAGCGTAAGAATGGAGATGGAAGCTGATTTAGACAGCTTTGACAGTGACGTTGTTGTTACTGGTCTCAGTATTTCCAGATGATCTCCTAGGATTTTCAGCCACAACCATCTCTAGAGTTTGCTGAGAATGGTTCCAAAATGGAAACTGTCCAGCTGAGGATGTGAAAATGTCCTGTTGAGGTCAGAAGAGACTGGTCAGACTTGTTCCAGATGTTAGAAAGACAACAGCTGCTCAGATAACCACTGGTGCTGACCAAAGTCTACAGATCAGCATCTCTGAAACACAACACCTGCTCTAGGTGGACTCCAGCAGCAAAGGACACCAGCAGGTGTCACTTCTGTCAGCTAAGAACAGGAAACTGATGCCAATTCACACAGGATCAACAGAACTGGACCAGAAGAGAGTGGAGAAACTTTCCTGGTCTAATGATTCTGGATTTCAGCTGCAAGATGGTCAGATCAGAATTTGGTGTGACCACCAAGCATGGATCCATCCTGCTTTGTATCAATGCTTCAGGCTGCTGCTGCTGGTGCAATGATGGTAGTGGACAGATGTTCTTGTCCCAGTCTGGACCCCGCAGTACCACCTGAGCTTGGTTTAAAAACTACAGTCCTGTTGCTGACCAAGTCCATCCCTTTAATGACCACATGGACCCATCTTCTGATGGCTACTTCAAGCAGGATCATGCACCATGTCACAAAGCTCAGATCACCTCTACCTGGCTTCTAGAACATGACCGTGAGTTCATCGGACTCCAGCGACCTCCAAAGTAGAGAGAGAGAGAGAGAGATAGAGATAGAGAGAGAGAGAGAGAGAGAGAGAGAGAGAGAGAGAGAGAGAGAGAGAGAGAGAGAGAGAGAGAGAGAGAGAGAGAGAGAGAGAGAGAGAGAGAGAGATATCCTTGGGACAGTATGAGTGACTGCTTCTTCTTTTATTACTGTCTCTCTGACACACACACACACACACACACACACACACACACACACACACACACACACACACATACACACACACACACACACACACACACACACAGTGGGTTTGTTGCAAGGTAAAGAGGTATATGCAGTGGGGAGACAACATGTTGAAGCCTGAGTAGTAACAGATGATTACTTCGACTGGGCTTCTCGTGGGCATTCATGTGCATGTCAGGGCACATGGAGCAGATGGCTGGGGCCCCGGAGATGGGAGGAAAGGATGGATGGATGGGAGAAAATGGTCAGAGAGATTTGATCAAAGAAGAATACTGTCAGGTGGGGGAGGAAGTAAATTGTGTGTTTTGTACGTAAATTTAAGTCAACTCCAAGTATTTAAAATGTTAATATCACAAGGAAGCAAAAGTTAAAAAACAAAAGAAAAATGTGTAATACTATATATATATATATATATATATATATATATATATATATATATATATATATATATATATATATATATATATACATATATGTGTGTGTGTGTGTGTATATATATATATATGTGTGTGTATATATATATATATATACATATATATATATATATATATATATATATACATATATATATATATATATATATATATATATATATTATATATATATATATATATATATATATATATATATAATATGGGGTGACCAAACCTTTCAACAAAGTGGCCAGAATCATCACGCTAACAGTTAAAACATGTGATTCAGTGATCCTGTTGGGTTACAGAGGAACTAAACCACCTCTTGTAATCCACCAGGGGTAATCTCCGGGACAAACCAAAACCGTTTCACTTACATTTACTGCAAAACTCACGTGAAGAAATCAGAAATTCAGTGCAGATGTAACATTTATAGACCGTATCACTAATTTATGTGGTGCCTCTTGATGATGCCAAATGTTGTGGAAAAACGCCCAAAACAGATCGAAGGTTAAGTGTATTGACAAGGGCTGCATTCCATTTAGAAATTCTGCTCGTCAGCCGTGTAACAACTCAGCAAGCTGCAGGAGTGGAATGCAGCCTTCGTTAGGACACCTGTGCTCTCCCCACTCTTTCAAACTAAGATGTCCTTCTCAGTAGCTGGGTTACCGTTCACATCTATAGGACAGGTAAGAGAAATTTAAAAGAAAACACTTTTCTTCAATCGGGGGCATTATGTTGTTTTTGTGTGGATGAAGAGATTGATTGATGAAAGGAATGGTGGATGGATAAGTGAGTAGATGATAGGATTGATAAATGGGACAGGGTGGACAAAAAACAATGGAACATCAAGAAATCTAGACACCAAACAGAATGCACAATGAACACACACACACACACACACACACACACACACACACGTTCTTTAGGTTGCAGGCTGAAACCCACACTCGTCACCTGGGGGATCTACCCGTCTGCCTGTGTTAATAAGTCATAAAAGTGTTTAGTCTGATCTATTTTTAATTACATCTGAAAAGACGGCAGGAAGAGCAAAATGTGACTTTGGTGCTAAAAAGCAATCAGTTTCATTTTCATGTAAAGATGATGCAGCTGAATTATTGACGTGTGTGAATCAGACTTGTGGGCTTGGTGATGGTGAGAGTGATGCAGCAACCAAAAACTGGGTTTGCTCGTTATCTGGCAACACATTCTCACACACAAAGCGTCAAAATATGACGCGTGTGACCAAGCCTCAATATATGATGATTCGGGACGCCCCAGCGCGTCAGGAGACGACGATCAGGGACACACTGATGACGCAGTGTCCCAGAGCGTCGGTATCCGACGCCGGTGGTGAGACGGACATTAGAACGACTTGTAAACTACTTAACCTTCCCCTCACCCCAATCCTAAGGTCACAGTTACTGACCTTAAGGTTAGGACTGGGGTGAAGGGAAGGTTAAATAGTTGAATAATGTCCATGTGACCGACCGCGGGCGTCAAAAACTGACGCCAGCGGAGCCACGTGTCCCTGATCGTCGTCTCCTGACGCGCTGGGACATCCCGAATCGTCATATATTGAGGCTTGGTCACACGCGTCATATTTTGACGCTTTGGGTGTGAGAATGTGTTGTATCTGGTGGAAAATGTAGAGGCATAAGCGGTTTCATTTTGGTGTTTGTGTTAGGAAGAGAACAAAGAAAGCATCACTGTCACAGATGCTCCCGCCAAACATTGTTTCTTACTGTGGTGCCAGGAAACGGTAGCCTCAGTGTGACGAGAAAGTGGCCAATATGCCTTCGCTGAAGGGTTGTTCCTCTCCTCTGAATTGCTCTCGTCCCCAAACTACCCCCGCGCTCTGCCTCGGAGTTGAGACAAACAAAGGAAGGGGAAAAAAAAACAACAAAAAAAATGTGCTCCAGATTTTACATGCCACCATTCGGAGCCAAAAGATAATCTTGTCAGCCGTGTTCTCACGTTTTTCTATAAATACCCTAAAAAAGTGCCAGGTTGACCCTGTAACACAGCTAAATTTTGCAGCATCTAAAGCCTTAGTGGATGTTTTATTAAAGCATTCGCCCACGACAATATAACAGAAATTTTGCATCAGGTGATTGACACATGGAATAGAAACTCCAATATAAATCACAATGGAGGGCATTTATTGGTATTTTATGATCAAAGGAAGTTGGGATCCTTCATACAAGATGAACATCTCACTTAACCCCTCAATGGTTTATCCCTTGAGGTCCACGTGGCAGGGGTGAGGTGGTGCTCACTCCTCACCCCTGCCACGTGGACCTCAAGGGATAAAGAAGAAAGAAGAAATTATCATTTCTATAGTGCGTCTCAAGATAAAAATCACGAGGCGCTTCACAAAAACAAAAAAAAAATGTAAAAATATAAAAAAAGAATTTAGAAAATAGTTAAAAATATATTTAAAATGAGCAAAAAATAGACTATTGGGACAAAAAAAATGTTAAGAAAGAGAGAG